CTGATGGTAAGTGGTCGCTGGGGCAGAGCCAAGCCGCTGCCTACCATTAAGTACTCTCCGCAAGACTCGTTTGAAGAAGGACATGTCATAGCGCTCGGAAAATACCGTGGAGGGGAGTTCATTCCAAAACCGGGTGGTACGTGGCAAAAAATACCTCTGGAAATGCACTGTGGATGACCGCTGTGGTTCCAGGTAGTATGGATGAATCCTACTCTGGTGGCGGGCGATGCGATGGTAAAAACGAGATGACGGTATCATCTCGAATAATTCCTCAGAGCATTCCCCATGAAACATACGGTATAAAACACAGAGAGAACCCAAGTCCCTCCGTAGACCCAGAGGTTCCAAGCGATCAGTGAGAGCGGGACTATCGACCATCCGAACAGCCCCTTTCTGTATGGAGTCAAATGGAAGTAGCTGGTATTTGGGAGCCCCGGCCCAGAGGTGAGAGCAGTACTCCACGCGAGGCCGAACCTGCGCTTTATAAAGCGTAAGTCTCTGCCCAAGCGTGAAATACCGCTTCGCTCTGTTGTGGACTCCCAGCATTTTAGAGGCCAATTTGGTTTTACCTTCCAAATGACTCCGAAATTTGGACATTGCTCGAAATATCGACCCCCAAAATCCCTATACTCGCAGAAAGCTGCAGGGATACTCCTTGAAATTTCGCGCCATGACAAAAGGATCCTTCTTCGCAGTGAAGACTCGGAACCAGACTGCGTGAGTATCGCAACCTATACGATTAAGATGTTGACCTAATATCTCAAAACGTATCTTCACATTCTGATGTCAATAAGATTCGGTAACTATACACCGCCAGATAAACTGTGCGATTGTGCATCCATTTATCGCAATTGAACAATTTCAACTTTTTGCGTTCATTTTAATACCCAATATAGTTGAAGCGTAAAAATATCTAAAACTATTGATAAACGATCACCAACTTATAAGCTGCATTAAGTGGAATAGACTTGAAGACTAACGACCGAAGTTTGTCTATCGTGTCTTCGAAAGGGTCACCCTTTGATCTTATATAATATTAAGTAGAGAGTTCTTCAAGAAACTCGAGTTTCAACTTTATGGAAACGCGATGTAGTATCGAAAAAAAATATCAAGTCAAGTGGAATTGAAGTCTTAGATTAGCGCGATTAGGTTTGTATTCGAAAATCTATGTGCGCGATTATGATATTGAACGTTGTAGATATGAAAAACAGCGTGCTCAGATTTGTTGCTAGTTAAAAAACTAAAATCCAGCTATTTTAGAGAAACAACAATGAAACAAAGAGACATAGAAAATTAATAGATTTTGAGTTCAATTGCTCTATAGTGATGTATCAAATCAAATAATGTATGATTTATGTAATAAAATTAAATATTGACATTAAATTGACTTTGCAAAAGAACAAATTTCTGAAATTTTAAATGTGACGGGCCGACGGATTAACGGGCACCGAAACATAATTAAAATAATTAGATAAAATTAAATAACCAACCAGATGTTTTTAAATATGGATTCAATATAAGGTTGGATTCTATATAAGTTGGATATATATTAAGTACGTTATAATCGTGTACTAAAATAAAGGTGTAGATATGTATTAAGTGAGAAGATCTCGTTAACACCCACTATTTCGTGAACACTGCTACGAATTAGTAACGTGGCTTAATGTGAGGAGATATAATGCAATGCACTTCAATCTTAATCTTATTTAATTTTGATTTGAAGAACGAACCGTGTGGAAGACCACAACACATGCGAATAGCAATAAATTGAAAGAGATGGTGGAAGCCAATCCTAGCCAAACTACCCAGGCATTAGCGGCATGGTTTAACGTTACCTTACCAACAACATTCTCTCATTTGCGTCAAATCAATAAAATAAAAAAAGATGCAAAATGGGTGCCTCATGATTTGACTGAACTGCAGAAAGAAACGCGTGTTGAAACTTGTGTTGCCTTGTTAAATCGATACAGAAATGAAGGAATATTGGATCGAATGGTGACATGTGATGAAAAGTGGATTCTTTACGATAACCGTAAGTGAAAAATGGAATAGCTGACCCCAGGTCATACGCCACAACAGTGTCCTAAAGCAAAGATTACCAATAAAAAGGTAATGGTAACTGTTTGGTGGTCTCAGCATGGTGTTATTCACTATAGCTTTCTCCGATCTGGTCAAGCAGTAACGGCATATGTCTACTGTGCCGAACTCCGAACAATGATAGCAAAACTTGGAATGAAACAGCCCCGACTCATGAATCGATCATCACTATTATTGCTCCATGATAACGCGAGACCTCACACAGCACGAGAAACCTTTTAAACTCTACAGGAACTGCAATTAAAAACCATTCGTCACCCTCCGTATTCGCCAGACCTTGCTCCAACGGAGTACCATTTTTTTCGTAATTTGGACAATTTTCTACGTGATAAAAAGTTTTCTTACCAGGAGGTAGTACATAACGCTTTCACACAGTTTGTAGTATCTAGATCACCTGAGTTCTTTCGCAAAGACATAAATGACCTTCATGTTAGATGGCAGCAATGTATAGATAATAATGGTAGATATTTTGATTAAATATGTTAAATGGAAAGAAAAAACCGAATTTCAATTTCTCAGTACAAATCGGCAATTTCATACTTTAACGCCTAATATTATAAAACTATTAGATTTATTATATCTTATACCACTGAATCGACCACGGTATAGTTACAGCCTGGTCTGTGTATATATACATATATATTAGCACTGTCCTTAACTAGTAAGTGTCACCACAAGTAAGTGTCGATTGGCAATCAACTTAAGCTGGTATAATACTCAGAGCTGCCCCATAATCCGGTAATACCCTTTTTTTTCCACAGGAGAAAATTGCCGGATCCCCACCCGCGCGGCAGGTGGTGGTATGTGGGAGTTGAACCTCACTAAAAACTCCTGCCGCTCACAACCGGCACTACCTCGGACCGGGCCCAGTCGGGGCTATTGAGACGGCGGGACAGGTTTGACGCAGAACACATTACATACATCCCGCCGGGTAAGACCCTTAGTCGTCTTTTACCAAACCAACGGGAGAAAGAGATGTGGTGGTGATAATGTTTTATTTTTTCCATTTATTCACTATTACGAAAGGCTTATATAAAGTCACGGTTGTGTTCTACACCGATTTCTTACACTATAATAGTTGTGAATATAATTTGTCGGTACATAAAGAAAAAATGATATAAGGATTTAAATAACGATTCCGGAGAAAATTATTTGTACATATTCTTTTAAATTATATTATTTAATATTTTAACATATTCACGAAAAACTACTTACTTCTCTTTTAAATTATTCGGAATAAAAACAATAATTTGTACTATAATCATTTCTAAAATTTGACATCAATTCCCCAGCAGACCGTTTGAATCACTACTTCAGATGAAAAGAAAAGCGTATCATATTTCCTTCTGATCCAGCACTCAGCATATTTTTTTATTTTAAATAAATCATTAATTTTGAAATACACTGATGGTAGGTTGCCCTGTGAGCCTGCACGGGTAGGTATCACCACCCTGCCTAATTCTGCTCTCAAGAAGTATTGCGTATTGCAATTTGAAGGGTGCGGTAGCCCTTGTACCATAAAAATGAGATATAGAACTCATTTCTGAAGTTGGGTGGCGTCATTCACATTAGTGATATCTGATAAGCTCCGGTAACCACCTAACAACTGGGGGGCCGTGAGTTCTCCCACCCACCTAAGTAAAAAAATAACACTCACCAGACTATGTAAAGAACTGCCTATCTCACACTATCTACAAAAATGCCCCATTATGTTAAAAATACATAAATATATGTCATCCTAACGGGAGTAGGTTTTTTGTGGTCTCAAAGGATTATCCGGCCCTCATAATTTTCCCGGAACGGAAGATAAAAATGCGATTTCTAATCAAACGAATTGAGGTTTATTGAACACAAAGGCCGGTTGACGATGTAACAACAACTGATTGATTCAATAATAATAAAAAAAAGAAACGAAATTAGAAATTGATGTATATTATATTTTATTTATTGCTTATACAGGTGAACGAGTTTTTTGATTTTTTTTTATTGCCTTTGTAGACAGACAAGCATACGGCCCATCTGATGGTAAGTGGTCACCGTCGCTCATGGACGTCAGCAATGCCAGGGGCAGAGCCAAGCCGCTGCCTACCATAAAGTACTCTCCGCAAGCGTCGTTTGAAGAAGGACATGTCATAGCGCTCGGGAAACATCGCGGAGGGGAGCTCATTCCATAGCCGGATGGTACGTGGCAAAAAAGATCTTTGGAAACGCACTGTCGATGAACGCAGCGGTTCCAGATAATATGGATGAACCCTGCTCCGATGGCGGGAGGTGCGATGATAAAAAGGAGATGAGGGGACTGTCTGCTAAGTGTAAAGTGGTAACCAGAGCTCATAGATTTGATTGACATCGTGAATAGCTCCATTTACTTTGACAGTGCAAGTCAGTCCTAAATCTCAGTTGGTAGGCAGCGACTTGGCTGTGCCCCTGGCATTGCTGACGTCCATGAGTGACGGTAACCACTCACCATCCATTTACCATCATCCATCCGGTGATCCATATGCTCGTCTGCATACAAAGGCAAGAAAAAAATGTGTGGTATATTAGCTATCATACCTTTAAAGCCAGAACCCGGATAGTGGCACTTATTCATGGAAGTTTACAAGACGCCCTATGATATTGTCTTAAATAATTTCTATAATGACCTTAAATGCAACGTCATTAAATACCATATCATTATTGAAATCATTCAACACAACATAAGTATTTCATGCTTAAAAAAATCATAAACCTGCCCTCGTATAAGTTGTTTTCTACCTGTACTTAAGAACAATACACAGAGGACAGGTTCAAAGTTTTGTAAGCCTCAAAACGAATATTAAAAATCTTGGCTTTTAATTTATGTTTAAGTTAAATTTATAAAACATTTCATTAATTAGTACAAAGTTATGTTATGAACTTACCAAAAACTTTAAGCACGAAACAATCCGTAAACACGTCACAAACACAGCAACTTAATAAAAACTAAGCGAAAGAAATCAAAACTGAAACTTGTATTTTTACACACAGTCACAGAAACACGTATTTTAACTGTATACATTAACAACCAAATTAAAATCGGGCACTTAACTGGGAATTTTTATTTCAATACGATCGAACGAGTTAGAGAATTCGAAATACAATCGAGAATTCGTTCGTAAGCCAGGCAAGCTTCGAACAGACTGAAACCGGCGGCCGGCGGACTAAAACGCGCATGTGCACAGAACCACTTATAATTTGATATCTCACATCACCGCCCTTGTGACATTCCGTGGTAAAACCTACTCGTAAATTATTCAATTTTATTTACTTATTCGTGCGCTTCTGTGGGATATTACAACACGGGTCGTAGATTTTTTTTTTTGTGGCCAACCGAAACTCGAATTAGTCGCGCTGTTTCTATTAGGATCATTGTAGTGTGTACGTGAATTGTTTTCCTGAGTTTGTTCCCTTAAAGTAATACGCACATCTTCGAAGATTCATGTTTTTAGATGTTGATAAGCATTTGATTAAACAAGTATGTTCCGCTAAGCTGCGTTTTCAATTTCATTCAAAAGCTATTATCCAAATGTATTGAAGTAAGTGCGAGCGCAGTGAGATAGTCGCTCAGTAAGCCGACTACAAATAAAACGGTGGAACGGTGCAATCGTTTTTGGCAATGTTCCCGAGATCCTAGCTTCATTCCAGTCCGATTCAGCCGATATAACCCCGCACGCCATAAAAACCAAAACCAACATACATTTTTGTCGGGGATCATTTGCTTTGGTACTACCGAAATAAACCTCAAATTTCACACCATCTTTGTAATGACCTCCAGCTGATATTGCATGAGACGTAAGTTAGGGATCTTTTGGAATTTGCCAACGAACCTCCATAGATAGCAGACATACTGAGAATAAGCACCTCAGAGGTCGTGCAACGATTTTTATTGAAGTTAAATCTTTTGTCGTGCCAAACGAAATGGCATTGAATTTAAACATTAGATGTCGATAAATCACGACTTTTCCGGCTCTCCTAATATCTCTGGATTTAATTTAAAATTTTCTATTTAAATCCAAGCAGCTTCTACTGTTTTTATTTTTTACATTAATGTACCCAATGATATTGGTTATTATATAATCCATACGTACAATTAAAACAGGCAGTACATAGAAGAAAGTAACAGAAAATTTTAACTAGAATGGAGTAGTAGTAGAACAACAATCACCGAATCGGGTCTTCAAGATATTGAATCCACAAAAACGTCAATATATTTTAATGACTAAGATGTCTGAACTTGACAACAGAATGTTATTCTTTTATCGGTTCCTGAAAAGAGTAAGTCAAAACATATTTTATGGTACGTCAAAATGTATAAGCACAGTTTCTTTTTATAATCTCGTACTTATTTTATTTCATAGTTTTCAACGTTTATTATCCTCAGATTTCGTGATCAAGAAAACTGTAAAATCCGTGGCCTCGGTTATTGTAAAATAATAAATATAAAATAGTGAAATTAAGCCATAAAACTTTTAATTCTCTTTTTATTACTTATGAATATGTAAAAAGATATTTATACTCGACCTATCCTATGTTTTAGGAACCCATAGACACCATCATTCTGAACATCAGCGCCAATCATGGAATGTACGGTTTAAGAGACAACTTTGTCATTAAATACGCTGTTCCCCTTCAAACCGAGTCATGAGCATGATATCTTAATGGTGGAAATTTCCAGAATTTTGATACTTTTTTGAAGAACAGTTAGTTAGCTGGTGGTAGGATGTCTTGTGAGTCCGCACGGGTAGATACCACCATACTGCCTATTTCTACCGTGAAGCAGTAATGTGTTTCGGTTTGAGGGATGGGGCAACCGTTGAAACTATTCTGAGACCTTAGAACTCATATTTCAATTTGGGTGGCAGCATTTACGTTGTAGATGTCTATGGGCTCCGGTAACCACTTAACACCAGGTGGGCGGTGAGCTTTTCCACCCATCAATGCAAAAAGTTTCAGATGTTGCAGTGGAAGTGATTTAAACCCCGTACTCCGATAATTTGAGTTTACAATTCCGTCATGACAGACAACTCAGTTCGTAGGCTAAGTAAGATCCATACATGAATAGGACCAAATACAGTCATATCAAATAGTACATGTTTGCCATTTTTATTTTATGATACCTCACATACGATTACAACATTTGTGCCTCGTTGAACAATATTTCTCCTGATCTGGATGCGACAGCTATTTTTCTTATTTATCTATACATTGATCTTAAAAGATACATAAGAAAATAAAGTGAGGATTATTTATTTACTGTCGACTAGTTTTCCGTCCACAGCTTTGTTCGTCTGCGTGGAAAATATTTTGTATCGCTTGGTATTAAAAGTTCGAACTATTCATAAAGCGAATTTTTTATTTTTTTTATTGCTCTTGTAGGCAGACGAGCATACGGCCCACCTGATGGCGAGTGGTTACCGTCGCCCATGGACTTCAGCAATGCCAGGGGCAGAGCCAAGCCGCTGCCTACAATTTTCGTCATAAACAGTGACGTGGCTTAAGCAGATAGGATTTCTTTTGTATTAATAACTAGCCGTAACCAGTCCGCTTGGCTGGCCGATTTTTGATTAGACTTTAATTCGATTGCTACCAAAGAATAGAAAATCGCCGGCTAGACCAATCTGAAGATTCCCTGAAAATTTCATCGAAGTCGGTAAAACCGTTTCGGAGTCCATAGGTACTATTAGGGCTTATACATACACAGGACTAGATATTATATAATTTGCTCTGTAACTTCTAACATCTAAACAGTGTAAAAGTAAATTAAAAAAATCTTTATATCACAATAATTTGTTTGTGTAACTCCGATTTAAGGAAATTTATTTCTTAATAACTTTTGCCCGCGACTTCGTTCGCGTGGAATAGTTCACAAATAATGCTTTATTTTAGAACAAATTTGGCTAGCATATAAAACGTTATAGCGAGCCAACCTTAACATACACACATACGCTACTACGGACTTTTTTTAGATCTTTTAAATGGGAACAATTCTGTACAATATTTTAGCGAAACTTTAACCTTTTCTGCAGCGCACGCAGCGGAAGCTCTCAAAAGGGAAAAAAACTCCGATTTTGAAACATTATTTATTGGTGTTCCGCTTCCATTACTCTTAGCGTGATGTTATATAGCCGATAGCCTTCCTCGATAAATGGGCTATCTAACACTGAAATAATTCTTCAAATCGGACCAGTAGTTCCTGAGATTAGCGCGTTCAAACAAACAAACTCTTCAGCTTTATAATAGTAGTATAGATTAATTTAATAAAATAAATTTAATATTCTACTCGAACTTAGTCTGTCTATCAGAAAAAAACTACATAAAAATTCGTTCCATAGTTCCGGAGACGTGCGCAAACAAACAGACAGGAAGACATAAAGCAATTCAGAAAATCCAAGTTTTATGTCCTACTCTTACTACTCTTCTTAATTACCTCCATTTTCTTTTATTGTTTATCTTCAACGTACAGACACCGGATTCTACTGTATATTGACATTAAGGGGCGGTTTGACTGTAAACTTATAAACCATAAATAAGTCTGAAAGTCAAGCCAGTGACGGACGCTCAGACAAAATTACAAAATTAAAAGTGGAAGGTCGTTGTGTTATGGGCATGCTACGAGATGAGGAGATATTCATGTTTATTTATTTATTTATTGCTTAGATGGGTGGACGAGCTCACAGCCCACGTGGTGTTAAGTGGTTACTGGAGCCCATAGACATCTACAACGTAAATTATTATCTCTTAATTTATCTATACTCTTACTATCTCTTATTATCTATTTGTATAAAGGATAATGTATGTGTGTTCACCTTACCTAGTTACTTATGAAAATGCATTTGGTTACAGGCGAGGCCGCGGGTGAAGCTAGTGCTAAAACAAAGAAAGTACTTGACAGTTAAATTAATTTCTGTAATTGTCAGCGTTTAATGAAATCGCTCTAAATACGTATTCAATTGTACTTAATAAGATTGATAATAACATAATTAAATAGATTACAGAGATCGATTTGAAGCAGTGTGAAACCTTTTTCTTTTTCTTTTTTTATTTATTGCTTAGGTGAGTGGACGAGCTCACAGCCCACCTGGTGTTATGTGGTTACTGGAGCCCATAGACATTCACAACGTAAATGCGCCACCCACCTTGAGATACAAGTTCTAAGGTCTCAAGTATAGTTATAACGGCTGCCCCACCCTTCAAACCGAAACGCATTACTGCTTCACGGCAGAATTAGGCAGGGTGGTGGTACCCACCCGTTCGGACTCACAAGAGGTCCTACCACCAGTAAAAAACTAGTAAAAACCTTTACATATTATAATTTTATTTTGAGTGTTTTGTTTTTTAAGAAAAGCCTTTGTGATTTAAGGAATAAGGACACCTGGTTCACTCAAAGCTCAAATCCCGCAGGCAGGTATTATGACGTCGACCGTAAAGGAATAAATAAAATCGAATAACAAAAAAAAAATTTTTTTTTGGCTATTTCTTATCCTATGCAAATAATACATGATTCTCAAAACTCAAGATGGGTGGGAGGGGTTATGTTATGATGTCTATATATATATATATATGCTCCATATATATGCTCCAGTAACGATGTCTATATATATGCTCCAGTAACGACTTAACACCAGTTGAGAGGAGCTCATTCACCCGTCTACGCAGTAACAAAAAGATATACATATATTTTTTTACATAAACTCCGTCATATCCAATTAACTTGAAGCCAGAGTTTCATTACAACGTAAATACAGTTGTTCACCTTTGACATGAGGTCGAAGAACGTTTTATTTGCTTAATTAACTTAACACAAACATAACTTTATCATTTACTATCGGTAGGACGTCTTGTGAATCCGCACTGGTAGGTATCACCACCCTGCCTGTTTCTGCCGTGAAGCAGTAATGCGTTTCGATTTGATGGATAAGGCAGCCATGTGCTGTAAAAACTGAGACCTTAGAACTCATGTCTCGAGGTGAGTAGCGGTATTTATGTTGTAGATGTCTGTGGGCTCCAGTAACCCCTTAACAGCAGATGGGCCGTGAGTTTCGTCGATCGAACTTAGCAATAAAATAATAACTTATATTTTACAA